GCAGAAAGAGCCAATAAGCCTTAATACTCTTCCCTTGCACATTGACCAGGGTTCCCCAGGAGAAGCATGCCTCTGGCCACCTTCTCTTGCTTCATTTATTCATTAACCTGCTTCTCAAAGTAAGGTGACCAGCTGAGGCAACACCAAAGAAAGAACAGTGACCAAAGTAGGTGGGAAGTGGCTCTTCCTTGACGGGGAATCTGGATAGTGCATCTCTGTGTTTCCCATGATCCTCTGTCTGCACTGTGTGGATCCCCTTCTCCATACAGATTTGGGATGTAGCTCTTCCAGGGTTCTACAGGTTCTCTCTTCCTGAAGGGAAACCTTGAAGAGCAGGGTGAATAGGACGGTCTCAAGCCCCTGTTGCTGCATTGGTGATGGACACTCATCACCTCCTTTACTATCCTAATTTCCCCTTGCAGATCCTGGAAGTTTGTTGAGGTAATTCCAAATTTTCTTTGGCTAGGACTTTTAGCACCCCCAATCTTCCCTCCTTCTACAAAGAAGGCCTGAATATGGAGCAACTAGAGATATTTCTAGAAAAAGGCAACATGTTACTTGGAAAGAAATGGTTTGATTCAGTAGAAGTCATGAGATAGGGAGAAAAAGAGAAGTCTTACCAGTGGATTTTCACATCATGTGAGAAAGTTCAAAGGGAAGCTCTTAATTACACAAGGGAGTTTAAATTACACAAAAATCACATAAAGAACATTTGTTAAACTCCTCTACTGCAACGTGATAAAGTGTGAGGACTCTCAGAGAGAGCATGAGCCCCTAACTGATGTGACTTTTAGGAGAATGGATAACCTAAGAAAAAGATACTATTAGCAAAGTGTGAAGCACTTTGGGGCACAGCAAATTAATTACAGTCTAGATGAGGAAGAAAAAGAACAGCATTGTGAAATAATCAGAAAATGACAGTAACAATGAGATCATTGTCACATTGCTGGGCCATGTGATCATCTCTCTTTTTTGAAATTTATAAGTGGAGGAACAAGTCTCTGCCTTTGGGAGAGCTAACTTGGAACCCAAGAAGTCCAGAAAGGCTTGGTGTGTTGTAGGGTGATTTGCTACTAAATTCTAAAGACAAAGTGATTCCTGCATTTTATTTAATGCCTCTAGTGTGATCAAAACCCTATCCCTTACCTTATGGGTTCTATTTATTGTTCTCTTTCAGTGACAACTATACATTTTTGGTTAAAATGACAACGACAATAGGGGCTGGGGATGTGGCTCAAGTGGTAACACGTTCGCCTGCCATGCGCGGGACGCTGGGTTAGATCCTCAGCACCACATACAAATAAAATAAAGATGTTGTGTCCACCGAAAAACTGACATATAAATATTAAAAATTTTTTTAAAAAATGACAAAACAATATCTCCCTTTCCTCCTTAGCCCCCTGTGTTTCCCATTTAACTTACATGGTACATTGCTGCCAAATTAATATTTGTGGCAGGCATACCGTAAGATGACATACCCCTGACCCCAATAAGTCACATCTTTGTATGAACCTCTCTTCTGGAGAGTAGGTGAAACCTATTGCTTGCTTACCAGTAGAATATGGCAGAGCTACCAGGCTGCCCCTCTCTTATTTAGGTTACTATCTATATGTACGTTTATATATCCGTATCGCTATCTGTACCTATGTCAGTATGACTCCTTCTTTCTTGGGTTCACTTCATTCTCCTTGCTGGCTTTGAAGAAGTAAGCTGCCATGTTGCAAGAAGGCTTTTGATAAGGTCATGTGTTAAGGAACTGTGGCCTCCAGGACCTGATGGCCACTTCCAGCTGATTTGTCAGTAAGAAGCCAGAGACCTTAGTCACTTAGCAACAAGGAAGAGAAGGAGACAGTATGAGTTTGGAATTAGATTCTTCTCCAGTTAAGTCTCCAGATGAGACTGTGGTGGTACCCTTGTGAAAGCATGAGGACAGGAGTTGTGCCTGAACTCTTTTTCTTGGAAGTGGAGGCAATAAATTTGTGTAGCTGTAAGTCACTGAGATTGTGGCAATTTATTATAAAGCAATCAAAAATGAATATAACATTATTAGGAAAAGTATTGCTCTATATATTGGTTGAAATTATCCAATTATTTTGTTAGTGTCTTTGGAATAAAGTACAAAAAGCTTAAATCACTTTTTAAATTATTATTGGGTCTGGGCCCAACCTGATAAAGTCCCTACCAACCCAAAAGAGCATCAAGGCAAAGGTTGCCTGTTGGAGGAGTCCCCCACAGGGTGGAAATAGCTAGACCCTAAATCTACATTTTCCCATATGTCTACTTCATTCCCTGTACTACCCTCAAATTTAATTGTTGAGCATTTATAGCCATGTGTTACATTTCAATATTGGTGCCAAAGATTTCTTCTTTTACCAGTTTATCCTATCCTAAATCATTTCCATTTTTCTAGACCTTCATAAAATCTAATGTGATTACACTTCCTTACTCCCACCTAGGAGTATTTCATCACCTTTCTTCCCTATTCCTTACTTGTGCATTTTTCGTACTGTAGCGTAGTATAACTTATACATCTTGGTGGACGTTTGTCATTCTTTTTAGCTGCCCAGCATCCAATATGCTTCCCAATGTTTAGGAAATTCCCTACCTCCTGAGTCTCAGAGAGAAGCAGGGCCTGATTCCGAATATGCCAGATTTTTGTTTTCTCAGTAAGATTTTTATATAATCCCTCTGGATTGAGAAGAATAAATGTTTTATTCAAATAAATATATTCAGGATCAGCTTACTGAATATACAAATCTTATTTTTCAGGAAGGTTATATTTAAAACTCATGTATGTATTTGTATGTGTATTTTTTCTGAACCAGAAATGTTTTAGTCATTAATATATGAATATTTATGTTAGCCCTGTAGCTCATTAGATTTTATATAAATATAGGTGGTGGTGATAAGTTTTATAAACTTGGTAGAGAAGGATCAGAGTGATAATAATATAAAAAATTTTCATTAATCTTTAAATTATGGAAGATTATGAACTTAATGTTATAAATGTACTCATCAAAACAATAGAGGAAATGTGTGTACTGAAGCCAGCTGGCTTAGGAATTAACTTATTCTATTTAACATCATTTTTTCTCCTACAACTAAATGGTTGTAAAGCATTTAGTCAAAAGCAGAAGAAAATCACAGAATTCCAGTTTTCAGCACAAGACAACTTCAGAATTATTGATTTTCAAGTACTTTATTAACTTCCCAGGTCAACAGTATGGCAGCAGATTTGGTCTCTAGAAATAAACAGAAGCAGCATATAAGAAAAAAGATACCTAAGACCTAAAGTACAGTGCAGAAGTTAGATGCTAAATGGTCTGGTGAAGGAACAAGGGTTATGACACCCAGGACACAGATGGGGCTCTAATGTGTTTTTGGGGAGAAGCTGTCTGCCTGGGGGGGAAAGGGGAGGGACAATTTGCCATTAGCTGAAATAACAAACTGTTAACAGGAAACTCTTTTCCCTCAGCATTGGGGACTGAACCCAGGTGCACTCTACCACTAAGCTACATCCCCAGCCTTTTTTATTTTTTATTTTGAGACAGGGTCTCACTAAGTTGCCCAGGCTGGTCTGGAATTTGACTGAAAGCCTTTTGACCAAAGCAACAGTCAGCACCCTTTGGCAAATTACTAAAAAAACTACCTGTGATTGTTCCTGCTCTGGTCCCCTAGTTCCATTCTCCAGGCCCTGTATCCAATAGGATTTTGCAAGTTAAAGTGTGATCCCAGGAGTGGCAGCGAGGGATATCACCTGGGAGCTTGTTGGAAGTGCAGAATCCCAGAACCCACCTCAGACCTACTGAATCAGAAACTTACCATAACAAGATCCTAAGGTGATTCATATATACAGGACCTTTTGAGGACTGCAATAGGATTCTTACTTATCCCATAAATCCACTAGTAAGCGTATACAGACAACAAAACAAAACAAACAACAATGACACCATCAAAAACCATATACTGAATCTCTTCTTTCTTTCTTTCTTTCTTTCTTTCTTCTCTCTCTCTCTCTCTCTCTCTCTCTTTAAAACAACAACAACAACAAACAAACGGAATTGACCATTGGTCACCAGCATGCCACTAGTTTTCAACTTGGCTGTCATCCATTCATTCATTCAATCAACCAGTCAATATTTGGGAGGAAGATAGAGAAGCACAGTGTCATTAACATACATTGAACTCCTTTAATTCCCTATAGATTCACGAGGTTATTATCCTAGTTTTGTAAGTGGGAAAAATGAAAAGAGAATGCAGAGAAGCAACACGCTCAAGATGACACTAACAATGTGCAGTGGAGGAAGTGAGATCCAAACACATGCCAGACTGCAGACCTCATGCTCCACTAAGTAGTTCACACAGAAAACATATATTCATTCCCTATTCTCTAAAAGAGTGTTGCACAAGGTCGGGCTTCCTCTAGTCGCAAAGGAGAGTTCCTTCTCTGGCCGTCTGCGTCGTGGGCAACAGCCAAGTTCTGAAGCCCACAGGAAAAGAGTAACATTTCCCAGCCCCCTGAACTGAGTCGTAGTGGAGCAAGAACAAACTCTCAATATCCGGGCCCCAGGGAAGACCTTGAGTTGCCACTCAGCCTCCTCTCAGCTCGGTCCTCCCAACGAGCAGTGGGAGGCGAGAGGACAGCCTAGAGCAGCCTTCCCACAACCATCATGGCAACCGTGAGCTCCTAGCTCACAGCTGACCCTCGCGCCGCCTTCCGGTCTCCACGGTAACAGGCCGGCTCCTACGCGCTGACTTAGGCACCGCTTGTTGGGAAATGGTGAGCACTTCCCTCCCCCTCATTTTTGCGACAGTTGCAGCGAAAGTCACGGCAGTTGAGCCTGGTGTCAGCTGATTTACTGCGGCGTCGGCGGCAGCGGCACCTTGCAACCTCAGTGGGGAGAGGGCGATCCGCCGGCGCTTGCAGCTCCCGAGGATTTCCCACTTGGATTTGCGCACCCCAGCTTCTCCTTAGATACGCCCTCGCCTTGTCCTCTCTTGTTGGGGCTCCCACGGCTGATTGATCTGACAGACCACATCGCGGCATGTGATGAAGCTGTGACAGGTAGGAGGGCTGGGAGCCTCTCCCGGGTAAACCCCCGCACGCGGTTTGCCCGCACTGTCGAGGGTCAAGGGTCACAAGCCCGCCTCAACCCGGGCGGCGCCAGCTGTCAGATCGGTGCTGCTGAAAGCTCTGTTGGGTGCTTAGTCTGTAGGTTCAGGCCCGCGGCCAGGAGCCTTTATCAGGATCGTGGAGGGTCCCGCCAGGGGTCTGTGGGGCCCCATGCCTGGTGAGTGACATATGCGCTTGTGACAGTGGCTTTGGTTTTGAGATGCAACTACTTTGCCTCCAGGGACAATCTAAACAGGATGCGGTGATAGTGATGATCATGGATGGTTATTGACAGTGCTTTCAGGTAATGTGTTTGCTTTTGGGGTACAAATGATCTGCCTTTACCTGTTGGTACTGCTCTTTAGTTTGCCCTTGCCGGCGGTACTGAGGCGTCTGTTAGTTTCACCTTTTAGATGCCACTTGCCTGTTCCTATTCCTTTGCCCTAGGAGCTGGTCTGAGAGGATATCTGCAACTTCACTTACTAATGGGTCCTCGCGTTTTGAAGCTATGTTTGGAGTCACCACTACCTTTCTTTCGATTTAAAAATCATATTGTATCTTTTGTTCTGTACTTTATTGTATGTTTTACCCACTTGCTGTGTCTCTGTTAGGTTCAATGCAGAATTTGCCTGTTCTTATACTGTGAAACTATGGCATCTTCAGTTGCACCGTGGGCTGCATTGGCATCTTGATGCTGCTGAGTTTCGGGTTTAGTCAGTCACAGCTACAGATTCTTTCTCCCTGACATTTGCCATGAAATCAAAAAGGCAAACTAACCTTTCCTAATGTTTGTTTCTTGGGATAGTGTGGACAAGATGGCAAGAATCTCCTGTTGTATGAAAGAAATGGAACTATTTTTGACATTTTGTTACATAAAAATTGGGATCTTTTTGCTTTATAAGAAAACTTGTGATAGTGTGGAGGTGGATGGCAGCTCAAAAATGAAAATAATCTATCGAAAATGTCTTATTTTGAAGAATTAAAGATGTCCTATTTCATCCAAAATAGCAGATCTTAGTTACTTTAGGTTGGGGATTGGTTTTTACCTTGTTTGAGTATCACTGTGGGAACTTAAATTTGGGGGTAGTGACTCTTGTATCTAACAATTTTCTTTTATATTGGATGTTTTATTTTGAAATTCAAGGAAATCGGGTGGTTTCTTCATGTAATAAGTTTAGCACTGAAAACTTTTGAAATAGTGGTCTGTTTTTTGCATGCATATCTTGAGAAGAATAGGATAATATTTAGGTATAGAAGAGAGTCCTTAAAGACTGTTTTGAACCTCAGATGCAAGGAATTGAGTTAGTCTTATTCAATTCAGTCATCATCACTGGGCTGTTTAAGTCCTCTCCTCTTTTTTTTTTTTTTTTTTTATCATGCAATAACTTTTATTTCCAAATCTCACTCCGTTCTCTTGCTCATCCACCAGTGGCAACCATTCTAATGTGTGTGACATGCATTCTTCTGTTTGTGTGATTAAATGTGTGTGACTTTGGTATCCACATTTTAAATTTATACAGATGAGGGGCTGGGGTTGTGGCTCAGCAGTAGAGCACTCGCCTAGCAAGTGTGAGGCCCTGGGTTCAATCCTCAGCACCACATAAAAATAAATAAAATGAAGGTATTGTGTCCAACTACAACTAAAAAATAAATTATACAGATGATGTCCTGCTATATAGCATATTAATTTCTTTCTTTTCCCGTTGTGTTTTAAAGACCTATTTGAATTGTTGTCCATTGCTTCTCTGCTGCACAGTATTTCAGAATGTACATCTACTTCCATTCATTTGCCTATTTGTGGATGCTCACATTGCCTTCATTTTCCTAGCACAGTGATGAATACAATACTGTGATAAATATATCACTTAGATTTCTGTGATGATATCTTTGAGACATACATCTAGGAATGTGATTATTGATAATACAATATTCGTGTATTTAATTGAAGCACTGCCAGATTATGTTCCAGAACAAACTTTAGTTGTCTCTACTCCTAGGTACTTCATGCAGATCTCTCTATCTTTATATCCCCTCCAATATTTGATGTTATACAGTGCCTTAATTTTTCCAGAATAATAGGTAGAAAACAAAATGTGATTTAAAATGACGTTCCACTATTAGTAATAAATTTGAGCATTTCTTTTTTTTTTAGAGTAGTCCCAATAGAGGGTTGCCACTCCAATTTATTTTTATTTTATTTTATTTATCTTTTATTTTTTATTTTTATGTGGTGCTGAGGATTGAACCCCGTGCCTCATGCATAGTAGGCAAGTGCTCTACCTCTGAGCCACAACCCCAGCCCTTGAGCATTTCTTCATGTACAATTTACCTTTTGGGGTTTTTTCTTTTGTAAAATTGCCTTTTCTTCCTTTTATCTATTTTTATTTTAACATTTTAGTTTGAGTGAGTTTATTTTCTGTTGAGTTAGCATAGTACCACAGATTGGATGAGTTGTAGCACAGAGTTTTATTTTGGCTCATGGAGGTGCAAGTTTGAGGGGATGCACCTAGTGATAACCACCACTTTTTTTTTTTTTTTGTTTTTTTGTTTTCTTTTCAATACTGAGGATTGAACCCATGGGCACTCTTATCACTGAACTACATCCCAGCCCTTTTTATTTTTTCATGTGAGGCAAGGTCTTGCTAAATTGCTTAGGTGGACTCATGATTGTGATCCTCCGGCCACAGCCTCCGGAGTTGCTGGGATTATTGGTGTGTACTATCACCACAGGTATGGTGATAACCTTCTCTTTGGCTGTGTCCTGGGGCAGTGCAAGGCATCACGTGGCCAGAGACAGGAAATGCACACATGTGTATGTAGGTATCTTCTGGTTTGTCTCCCTGTTCTCATAAGGCCACTGATTTTCAGTCCTGGGGGCTGTATTCTGATAACATTATGTATTCTTCATCACCTCCTGAAGGTCCCACCTCTAAACATTATTATGAGATTAAATTTCCTCTCCCTAAATACATCACATAGGGATTAAATTTCAACACAGGAACTGAACTCTTGGGGAATACACTCAAACCCTGTCCAAACCAAAGGTCTCTCAAACCGGAGACCTTTCTTGATTTGCAGAAGTCCTGGTATTTCTTAGATGATAATCCTTTAAATATTACAAGTATATTTGTTGCCAATAAGCAATTTGTTGATAATCTTTTTAAAGTATATCTTTCATTGAACAGGCATCTTCAATATTAAAAAAAATTTTTTTGCAGTTGTAGATGGACAGCATACCTTTATTTCATTTGTTTATTTTTATGTGGTGCCGAGGATCAAACCCAATGCCTCACTCATGCTGGGCAAGTGCTCTGCCACCGAGCTACAGCCCCAGCCCCAGACATCTTCAATTTTGACAAAAAACTTCTTCCCCATATGGTTTATATTTTAGAGGTTTTGTTTCAGAAGTTTCCCCTCAGTTCTATTACAGAGTTAGTCTCCTGTGTTATTTATCACTAACTTCACAGTTTTCTTTTAAACTTACAGATTTTTAATGCATCGGGAGTCTGTCTTTCCACAGGTCACAAGTTTGTGATTCAGTTTCTTTTCCGTAGAATGTTTCCTAGTGGGCTTCTCCTTTTCCCATAGGTAGTGGTACTGTGTTCACTGTGTTGAGTTCTCACGTGTACCCTGAACACTGGATCCTCCTCCTTCTGTTTGACTGCTCTTGCTCTAATACCATCTGTTGCTTTATAGTATATTTTTCCTCTATATTAATAATTCTTTCCATTTATTTTACTTTAGCTTTATGGTGATATAGATTCACAGGAAGTTTCAAAAATAGTGAAAAGATCTGGTTTTCCCTGATGGTTACATTTTATATAATTTCATTCAACTTTCTTCAGTGGTTACATTTTATGTAACTATAGGTACAGTATCAAAACCAAGAAATTGATGGTTGTTCAAGGCCTATGTACAGTTCTGTGCTATTTTATCTGTGTAGGTTTTTATAACCACTGCCACAATCAAGATAGAGAACTATTCCATTGCCACAAAGATCTCCTTTGTGTTACCCCTTTCTAGTCTAGTGATTACTAATCAGTATTCTGTCTTTATAATTTTGTTATTACAGGTCTGATAAATAAATGGAACCTTATCACATGTAATCTTTTCTAATTAATTTACAAATTGTTGAATGAAACAATTCTTGAGATGCATCCAAAATGTTGCATGTATCCATAGTTCTTTCTTTTTAGAATTGTTGAATAGTATTCCACAGTATGTATGCGCCACAGTTTAAGCATTCACCTGAACATCTGTGCTGTTTCCCATTTGTGGCTATTACAAATAAGGCTGCTAAGAACATTTTTGTACAGTTTTTTTTTTTTTTGTAGGGACATAACTTTTCTCTTTTTCTGGGATAAATGCCCAGCAATATGATTGCTGGATGGTATGGTAACTGTATGTTTAGTGTTTGAAGAAACTGCTAAAGTGTTTCCCAGACAGGCTGTACCATTTTACTTTTTAAACAGCAGTACATGAAATATTCAGTCTCTTGGCATCCTTACCAGCATTTAGTAATTGTCACTATTTTTTTTTTAAATTTTAGCTATTCTATTAGATATGTAGTAATGGTCTGGTGGACTGTTATCCTAACTAATATAGTATGGATCTTGAAGTAATTTTAAAAGTTGCAAAGTTAGACCTAGAACTATGAAGTGTGTTTATTCCTGATTATCCATTTTACATCTCCCCCATCCTTCTCCTCTTTGTGGTGCTGGGGATCAAACCCAGGGCCTTGAGCATGCCAGGCAAGTGCTCTACCACTGAGCTATGGCTGTCCTCCCAACCCCCCTGCACCCCGACCTTATCCATTACATCTCAATATAATATTTATTGTTTGTTTGTTGGGACACATAAACTCAGTGGTTAGAGTATGGAGCTAGTGTGGTTTATAGGTTTTGTTCCTATTTGTCCATTTAATTGTAGTACTTTATAAAGAATCAACACTT